TACATATATATATATATATATATATATATATATATGTGAATAAAAATGTGCAAATAAATGTGTGTGAGCGTGTGTGTGTGTACATTTATACATACATACATATATATATATATATATACACACTGTATATATATATATATATATAAACAATATTGCTATATATACAAAAGGATATGCACAGATTAAAACTGTCCCAAATTAGCCTGCCTTTATTTGTCTTGATTTGGGAAGGTGAGTATACCTTTTTGGTTGACCATGCAAATGTTAAACCAACTTCAAGCTCCCATGAGGTCGTTCACTTGGATTGCCCTCCCTCTTTCGATCACATGGCTTTAACATTTACTCATGTTGCACTGGGTTGGACCTAATGTTCAACTTGGACTAAAACAGTGTGTTTGTGTGAGGCTGTATAGGCTGCTGCCTGAGCAGGGGAGGGAGATAAAACAAGACTGATAAAGAGAGAGGGGTAAGGGAGGGACCGAGAGAGAGGAAGGGGGAAAGAGAACACCTGTAGCACTCAAAGCAGACATTCAGTAGTGGGGAGGTTAATTAAGAGAAGGGGAAGCAAAAAGGTGAGAAGGTATTAGCAGCTCTCAGCAGATTGAATTTGAGCGGTAAAGTGAAGTTCGTGAGTGAACACAGAGGGCAAGCCTGTCAACGCGACAATGGTTTAACAACTTCTGGACACCTGTTCTTCTGAACCAAAGAGCACTTTTGAAAGAAGTGTGATCTATCTTTTCAGGTGAGAACTGATCAAATGCTCCTTTTTGTGTTTTGAAGTTAATTTTGTTTGTGAACTGCATTTGTTCTTCAAGTATTTCTTCAAGATACTTTTTTTTTTTTTTTGCATATACAAGAACATTAGACTTCACATTCTTAATTTGGCTGATTTTGTTAAAAAATGCATGAGATTTTTTAAAATCTTAATTTGAATGAATAAAACTAATTGAATTTAACAAAATAAAATGAAACTGAAATAAATTTGATAAAAAACACAAAAACACACAACAAAATGACTAAAACTTACTAACTGACATTGAAATGAAAACGGAAAATATAAAAATAAATACTAAATCAAAACATTTCATAAAACCTACACTATCTCAATGATAATAAAATAATAACACTGTTCTTAACCATTTCAAAATGAACAATGAAATGAACAAACATAGGCTATGAGTATAGTTTTGAACACAGATGAGTGGAATGTGAACTTGTGTTCATGAATTCTGCTTACAGAGCCTGTTACGAACAAATGATCTAGTGAAGGCCTCTTCTGAGAGGCTGTAGGCTACATGGGAAACTTGACATGCCATGTTATAGGCCCAGAGAGAGAAGTAACATTCAGCACACAAACGGCAGCAGTATGATGTCCAGGCCTAGACTTGCAGGCAAACTTGACACCCTCCATGACTGCTCTGA